AGTACGCGACCCGGTACTGAAGACATAATTCTCGGGCGACCTAGGTGGTCGTAAACCAGTCGCGGAGCGTTGACAATGGACCGGCAACGAGCTGCCTCCCCGCGTCCCCTCGCCCGCCCGACGAGCCCCGGCCGTCCGCTCCAGCCTCGCCGCTGCCTCTTCAGCATTGTTCGATTGTTTTCCGGGGAAAGAGTCGTGGCGAGGGGGAAGAGGAGGGAAACGGCGGAGAAAAACGATATGTGGGCATGTGAGAATTGCACCTAGGCCGCGCGACGACCTTTCTTATCGCGGAATCGTTTACATCGGCATTACCTTGCCGATGCACGACGGGCGCGAGATACGCCTACGCCGCCGCGCTCTCATATTATTGTAATACGGACGTTCGGTGCACCGTTTCTTCCACCTGATCGTCGAAAAATTTCCACGCGCGTGTGTTACGTGTGTGCCGTATGTGCGCGCGCGTTATACGTGCCGGTCGCAACTGCGCCAACGAGCACCCCCCGCGCGTTTTCCTCTCTCCGTCCCGCGAGCGTGCCGATGATTAATCATCGTGGCGCGGCGCGAGATAAAAAGTATCTATCAGTCGAGACGCGGAAGTCATTATTTTTCGGAAACTTCTCGCGTCGCGCCAGATATATCGGCGATCCCGATAATTATGAATCGAATTAAAATTCCGACGCGAAACACGGAAAGGTGGCGTAAAATTAAACTGTGAGTCACGAAGTTAACGATCGCACGGATATTGTAATTACGTATCGCCGTAATTCACGCCGGGACTGCATTCACGCCGTGGCGCCGAAATTCCCGAAATCGCAGGCAGCAGTAAAAAAATCCGCTTTCGGCTCCGCTCGCTTGCGTGCTCTCGATAATTGGCTGACACCACGAAACACACCCAGGGCGCTTTGACCGTATTAACAGCCGAGTGGAGAATACCAGGACGGCAAACGTCATGCGACTGTCTTCCGACTGAAAAGAAGCTTTACTTTCTCCGTATTATTTTCGCGGCGAGAAATTGACATTGTCGTGGCAGGTTACGTCGGGATAAAACTCTCGCTTCTCTTTCTCCGTGTGTTTTGCAGACCGCGCTGCGCCTCGGTCCGTCTTTCGGGCAGTTTCCCAATTATACACGCACGGAGCAATCCGAGGAAGAAAAGGAGAAATTATTTATGCGAGTTTCATCTTGATATAATGATCTCTCTGAATTAATGAGATCGAATTATACTTTAGTTCAAGTTTTGTTTTCTTTCTTGTTTCAGCCGCAGAATCTGGTGCTCACCGGAGAGTTTCCGGATTGCGACGTCAAGTTATGCGACTTCGGCATATCGCGGTACATCAGTCACGGAGCGGACATACGAGAGATTCTGGGCACGCCCGACTATGTTGGTGAGTTTTCGCACACCGTGTGCACATTCGTGTTCCGCGAACGAAATTTTGCAGGAATTTCGAATATGTCATTCGTCACCACGTAACGTGACTAAGGCAAAAGGACTCTCGTGCTAATCTGCTTAGTGCAAATAGCCGGCAGAAACGGTAACCGTACTTGACACCTGCGCGTTTTCTCCAACACTGCGTCGAGCTTGTGCGTCATTGCGAGGATAACAGTCACACAATCCTGATAACGTTTTCGCGAGGCAAACCATATACGGCAAACGTGCACATGCATTAAGCAGCAATGATGTCTTGTTTCTGTTTTAAAAACTTTTTTCAAGTTTTCGCGCATCATATTTAAATATTTGCGACTACTCAAGTATAGCATCTCTAAACATTTGAAAGATTAAAGCTAAAATATTAACAATAATTTATACAGTAAGTAAGCTAATGAATAAAATTATAATTTTATATTTTTTCTCAACAGTCACGATGCAAAAATGTTTGAATATAATGCGTTGAATTCGAGAATTTAAGTCGGAAGTGTAAAGCGTTATTAACGTCTGGTGTAAGTTTGTCGACGATTTTCGGGCTCGGAAGTCGATCACGGCGACCCCTACTTTTGCATGTTCCACGTTTTCGACTTGGTTCGTGCCAACCAAGAAACGGTCCATACTGCGCAGTTCCATTAAGGAAACAGGCGCGTTGCATAATTGAACAGAACAAGCCACTTTGCGACTGGCTGGAGGAGTCGCACGTGGTCGCTGCGGCGCGCCCGATCAGTCGAGTGGACCCTTTTACGATTCTCGCAACGATTACCGTCGCAATTACATCGCACTACCGTCTAACGGTGCCCTAAGCGGACGAAGGTGTTAGGCAACAGCGAGTCACGAGAATCTCTCCACGGAGAAGATCGAAAAGTCTCGCGCTGGTCTTCGCACGAGTCTTCGACGTTCGCCAGAAACCACCTGAAATCGTCCTGGGAAAAGAAAAATTATTATTTCAAGAACCGCGAAATGAGTTAAAGAAATAACTACAAAATTACGTGTGGTAATATTGAACAAAAACGAGACGAGATCGACCTTAATTCAAGGAAAAAATTGCGATTGCGTTATTTCTCCCGCTCATAAATCTTAATCGGTCAATTAGCGTCAGCTTCGAGATCATTCGCAGAAATTAGCGAGATTGTTCGGCGATAAAACAAGAATCCTCGCGGCGATCAAGTCCGAACGGATGCGCGAGGATGCGCGCGGAAAAACCGACGCGGTTCGAGTCGGAAGCGAGCCGATACAAAGTAGCAATTCGAACGTCGGTTATTACGCAAGGAACAAGAACCGCGATTACGCCGCGCGCGGGACCTAATATGTCCACGGTTACAATTATTATTATCCGGTTGAAGAATGCACATTAAGCACCGACGCAGCGCAATAGACGACGCAGAAAGACTCGACGTAAACGGCGTTATTTTTCTCTCGAATTTAATCACCGGCGACGCAGGATTTGATGCGCGAGTCGACAGGACTCGGCAGTCCTCCACGCTATAAATCGCTCTTTTACCGTGTGTGTTTCAGCGCCGGAGGTCCTGAATTACGAGCCAATCAGTCTGGCGACCGACATGTGGTCCGTCGGCGTGCTGCTCTACGTGCTGCTAACGGGATGCTCGCCGTTCGGCGGTGACACGAAGCAGGAGACGTTCTGCAACATCAGTAGGTGTCGCCTGGACTTCCCGGACGATCTCTTTGAGGACGTTTCCGAGGAGGCGCGCGATCTCATGCGCAAGCTCATGGTCAAAGACCCGTGGTAAGTTGTGTACTGTTCTGTTTAACACGTTTGCGGCAGAAAGGCAGAGTCGAACTGTAAAACGCATATTCTCTCTTGAAAAGAATTGTTATATTCGTCAAGATTTTCTGTCGCGTAAATTTACTTTTGTAACCTTTAGTTTTGTATAAAAAAATTATTTTTCTAATTTAATGGAACGCGCCAGCGATAATTTATGACGTCGCAAATGTGTGTTGACGTCACGATGCATGATTTCGCGATGGATACATTAATATCGTGGAGATTGAACCGAAAGAAAATCAAGCCTGAGAAACTTAATTCAAACGCGATTAAAACAACGTGTGTGATATCGGGCGTGTAAAGCGCGCGACGGCGCGACGGACGGCGAGATTCATTGATCATCGCGAGCCGCTTCGTCGCCATTTATCTTCATATGCTCCACTTGATTCGACGGAGAGATTTCCATTCGCTATTCCGCGATCGGAGACGTCGTCGTCGCGATTGACGCTTACACACCCACGTCGTTCCGCGATTTCCGTGTCGCGTTTCTCGATGTCGAGTTTAGATTATCGCCGAGAGTCTTCAGCTCCGGCGTCCGGTTCGTCGATGAGATCGCGTTACCAGAGAACCCCCTCCCCCGCGCGAGGATTCCTGGACCGGTGAAAAATAATTCCTTCACGGAAGGCTTGCGGCAAGCTACCGGGAAGATACGGCGCTTACCTCGAAGCGAAAGAAGATAGCCCGAACGGCGCGCGCCCGCGTCGATTACTTTGTTGGCAGTTATGTCAGTAGCGTCGGTCTATTTCGCGGAACGAAAACAATCGCGTCACGTAGACGTATCGTTGCGGGCGGCGCTGCGACATTCCGCGACATGTAACCGAGATGACGACATCGGCGACGGTAACGATTCATTAAGTACGGTAAGCGCAATTCGGAATTAGTAGGTCAAACGCCGCCCGAGCTTCGAGATCTAATCGCGTCACGCTTCGACGAGAGAAAGCCATTCACTCATGAGAATCTCGCGACGGTCGGCTTTGCGTTAGCGAGAGCTTCCTGTCGCCGGAATGCCGCGTGGATTCCTGGCCGGCCGTTGGTCTTTTATTGTATAGATTTATGAAGCGAGCAGATCCTAGCCTCGGGTTCAACTTTCATCGCTTTATATTAGCCTCGGTTTTCATTCGACCATATATAAGATACGTAACATGAAAGCGAATAAAAGCCGTAAATCTGAATTCTAAAAAAAATCCTCTAAACTCATTTATTTTACAAATTAATATATATATTTTGAACCGTTTTATCGCGTTGGTCTTTCATTGCACGGATTCTTGGAGCAACAGAGATCCTAGCCTCGGGTTTAACTTTCATCGCTTTATTAGCTTCGACTTTCATTCGACTGTACGAGAGATAATGCGAAGAAAAACAAAAGTCGTAAATATGAAGTCTCAAAAAATCATGTAGACTCATTTATTTAATAAACTGATACAGTTTGAATTGATTTAGCACTTGCTTTTTTATTGTGCAAATTCTTGAACAGATCATAGCCTCGGGTTTAACTTTCATAGCTGCGGGTTTTGTTCGACTATACAAGTTGTATGAAAGTGAATAAAAATGATTAAATTCTAAAGAAATCATATAAACTTATTTATTTTATGAATTAACATATGCTTTAAATTGTTCTATTATATTGATTTTTTAAAATAATAGATTTCAAGGTTCAAGTTTCATCGCTTTATTAACTTGACTTTTTATTCGAATATGTAAGACGTAGCGCGAAAACGAATAAAAATCACAAATATAAATTCTAAAAAATCCATAAGTTTATTTATTTTGTAAATTAATATATTTGGGGTTTTATCGTTTTCGAGGCTGCCACAATGACGACATTGTGATTCCGCCGGGATGCATTTATTAGCTTTGCTCGTCCGAGGGTAGAAACTGTCATCGCCATCGCAAATATGCGGACGGCAGAAAAACGGCGTCGCGTCACGCCGGCGTAACTTTCTTCGAAGCGGGAAGAGCGACGGCGAGGAAGGCGAGTTCCGCTGAAAAACTCGTAGGTTTCCTTATCGCGCGGACAGCTGAGAGGAAGTTGCTATCCGGAACATTCGCGTTCTTCCTCTCTGCGAACCTTTTATCGCGCGGAACTTATCATCGCGACGTTGCGCAGCGGTCTTTATTGAGCTGTGAATTGCCATGTTTAGAAGATCAAGTCAAAGCCACATTGTTGTTTTTGTGAGGAATCGAAATTTCCGGAAATACGCGGAGAAAGGAAACGTCACGTTTCAATTTACATACGATCAGTCGTCACGTCATTCACGTTAGAATTGCTAAAGAGCTGATGGAGTGTATTTCAATTATCCATTTACATTATTGGCCTATTCATTTAACTGCGCAAACAATTGCGAAACTAATCGCCATTGTGTTAACGACAGCGCGTCGATTAATATAACGAGCGTGATCTATAAAACACTTATCGCGATCACGGTAATTGCTACGTTAGCAATCTTTTTTTTATCGACACTTTTTCCCTCGGTGTATATTTGTTTCACGGAATTATTGCGCCAATCAATTCAATCGTGGTCTTTATCCGTGGTGTTGATCTTTCGCCATTCGCCTTTACGCGCGGCACGGACGCGGTAATGCAAATTGCGCGAATGACGTGGAAGCGTTAATTCGCTCGGGCGAGCGTTTTTTTCGCCCGGGGCCCGAAATTGAAGGGGAGTCGCCCTCTAAGACACTTTAGTAGCTCCTCGGACAAACCGACATTCCTCGACGGTTACGCGTTACGCAATTCCTCGCCCCGTTATCGAAGGCATGCCGTGTCGCCGTCCGTTCCGTGTGCCGGAAGTCGAGCGAGATACGTTAAGCGCGTAACGCGTTAGGATGCACGGTATACCGAGCGCGGCACGAAACGACCGCGTGAAAACGGTCGGTGGGACCGCCGCGACGATGATGGCCACTGTAGATAACGACTGCGAGTTTATGCGACGGGTCTCTTAACCCTTTGACTCTCTCGCTCCTCGAGTTAACGAGGACGACGAGAGCGAGTCGTTCGCGGAACGAGCGTGTTGTCGGGATATATTCGTTCGAGAGCCCGAAATAGCCGACGTAACGAAGTCGAGTTCCTTATCTTCAGCATTCCGATGCGATCATCGGAAACACGTCGAGACTCGATCACGTCGAAATACCCGCAAAAGTGCATTTACGTGGTTCATAAAAATATTTCAAATTCGTCTCCCAGCAAGCGATTTCTTGTTTGTTCGCAGCGATCGCCTGACGGTGACCGAGTGCCTTCAGCATCCCTGGTTCAGCATATTCGAGCAAGCGTCGTCGACGCCTCTGCCATCGACGACGTGCTCCGCGTCGGACAACAGCCCCGTCACGGACTCCACGACGACGTCCACGCAGGAGGAGGCCTCGCCGTCGAAGCAACCGATCGCCAACGGCCAAATCGCGAACACGTCGTCGCCCACGTCAAAGAGCGACAGCGAGAAGCAGCAACAAAGATCGTCCACCAGTCTGTGCCACAGTCCGGAATCCTCCAAGCCGACGAGTCCCCGCGCCGTCTCCTCGCACACGGAGAATCTGTACACGAGCGCGAAATCGACGCCGAAGCCCATCAGATTCGGCTTGAGTCCGGATCGCAGGGACACTTTTAAGCGGAATATGGACTCGCTGGCGCGGAAGTTCTCCGGCACTGTTCTGCCGGAGATCGTCATCATAGAGTCGACGTCGAGCGCGTCGTCGAGCGGTAACGGCGGTATTCAGCAACGACGCGCCACCGCCACCCATACGATGCCGGCCGGCGGCGAGGTGTTCAAGTGCACGCCCGTGTTCATCCTCGGCGAGGCGGAGCAGCAGTGCAGCGACAGCGGCAGCGACACCGTCTCCGAGATCTCGACCGACAGCTCGAGCGACCGCAGCAGCATCTACTCGGACGACTCCCTGGACTTCATACTTTACGGTAAGAGCCAAGGCAGGGCGAGCTTTCCGTTCACCGCTGCCGACGCGGCCGCCGACAGGTGGGACCACAGGCATCATCGCACCGCCCAGGTGTGGCCGCGCGAGTGCAGCGGCGTCGTCAGCAAGGCGCTCAGTCGCTTCACGTCGGAGAGCGGCGCGTCCGGCACGACGAAGATGGCGAAAATGCCGACGTCGATGGCAACGGCGACGG